AAAAGGCATCATAGAAAACTTTTAAAACAATTACATTTAATAACAATTGTTATACCCTTAGGCTTTTAAAACCACTTCAACTAATAACACACAGTTGGAAACTTAGGCTGTTAAAATTATCCCATCTAATATAAAATTATATAAACCTAGTTAAAATGTACAAAAGTTGGTAAATTGATCATTTTGTAATTTTTCAGAGAACTGGCTATAGGTGTAATAAATTTTGAGAATGACCTATATTTTTGTATTTCAGGTATATTTCTGATTGGGTGGTATTTACACACAGTCCCCTTTATAAAGAAAACATTCTTTTCTACAGAGCTTTGTGTAACCAGTTATTTTCTTAGAAACAATGTATTGCTGAATGGAATGTTGAGTTTGGAAGTGCACACATTTTTTTAAGAATTTTTAATGTTTATTTCTGAGAGAGAGAGACAGCATGAGCAAGGGAGAGTCAGAGAGAGAGGGAGACACAGAATCCAAAACAGACTCCAGACTCTGAGCTGTCAGCACAGAGCCTGACACGGGGCTCGAACCCACGAACCGTGAGATTATGACCTGAGCCGAAGTTGGACGCTTAACCGACTGAGCCACCTGGGCGCCCCAGAAGTGCACACATTTTTTTATGTTTATTTGTATTTGAGAGAGAGAGATCGTGAGCCAGTGAGCAGGGGAGGGGCAGAGAGATGGTGACAGAATCTGAAGCAGGCCCCAGGCTCCAAGCTGTCGGCAAGAGCCCGATGCGGGGCTTTAACTCAGGAACGGTGAGATCATGACCTGAGCTGGAGTCAGACCCTTAACTGACTGAGCCACCCAGGTGCCCCAGGAAACGCACACATTTTAAAGGACTTTATTGTGTATTGTCAAGTTAAAATAGATCATTTACTCCCTCCTGCCAAGCCACATCATTTCATTTCATGGTGAAAAAATTAGAGCCCAGAGAAGAAAGTGGTTTTGTCCCTAATCACAGGACGGCCATGGCTGGACCCCACAACTCTGCTTGCCAGTTCCTAATTACCTGCACCCATCAGTGTCCTCTGTGGTCTTCCAGCAAGAGTCAAATGACCCTTCAACTTCTCTAGAACCAAACGTTCAGGTATTTAAACTCTCACCTACTTCTTTATTGTCTTTTCTGGACTCACTCTAATAAGTGCACTGACTAAAACTGTATTGGTTTTTTAAGGTTCTGATAAATGCAGTCAATTTGCTATTTTTACGCATCATTATTTCAGAACATCTCAGTATGGGCTTAACATTATTTACGCTACACATTTATGTTATGGCTAACCGCATACCTGGACCTCCCTGCTGTGACGCATCCTGCAGCACATAATAAAAAATGCTTTCAAACCCGATAAAGACCTTGGCAAACATAAGGTAAATTCAGATGTCTCAGATTTTGGTCACAAAAACATAAAGGAAATTGTGCGAAGGGGAAGCCAGCCACGCCGCGCCATATCATCTCTTGGGGGCTGGAGGGAGCATGTTTTGAAATTGATTTGTTATTGATACAATTCACATGCCGTAAATTCACCCTTTTAAAACGTACAGTCCGGTGGTTTTTAGCAGCTTCGCAAGGTTATAAAACCATCACCACCATCTAATTCCAGAATGCACTGCATCCTGTGTGTAGCAGGCTTGCAGAATGTACGCGCTGCAATTCAGCCGTGCAGAAACCAGGCGGAGAGAAGGCTTCACGGTCTCTGTCTCTCTTCCTCCCTCTGAGTAGCAGCACGCCAGCAAACCGCCTTGAGTTTGCCAACAGGGTTTGAATCTTTTCCAGCTTAAATAGTCCTTTTCTCCATCATCCATCCTGCCGCCGCCTCTTTAAGATCGGAGCTTCCTTCTCCCGGTTTCTGCCTCCTTCTTAGATGGTACCTGCATAGATACAGGGTTTCTATTGTGCTGTTTGGGGGGGGGGGGAAGCCACAGATTCTCTCCTGGTTCTTCATGTGTCGGCTGACCTATGACTGGGCACTGCTGATTGTGGGGAGTGTTAACCCTAATAGCACCTCCAGAGCGAATGGATCACGGTGGAATCTTCCAGAACCCCTATCCCTTTAAAAGGCTCTGAGTGAGGGGAGCCTCCACCTCCTTTTGTGCTTCACCGTGTGTGAGGTGGGAAACAGAGAGACAGAGCCTCTTTCAGATCTACAGCCTCCTCTAGGTTGAGTCTAGGGGTATCGACCTAAAACTATTAAGTGTTCTTAGTATCAATTGGTCCGTCTCCCACTTGGCCCTTAATAATAAAAGTGGGTGGGGGGTGCCCCCTTAGACACAGGTTCTATCCCATTCTTACTCTTTCTAATGCTCCTCCATGCTCCTCTTTCTCACATTTTGTAACTCAGGAAGTACTTCTTGTAAAGCGCCCCCCCACCCCCCCTAGGGAGGAGCCCGACCTTAGTCACAGAGCAGAGGTGATACCCACACTGTAGAGCAGTCCTGGGCCCCGAGTTGTCGAAGACTTGCTTTTAATACGGAATCCAGAGGAAAACTCGGAGCCGGGAGTAGCTGATAACCCAAACAACATTGACTTATTACCCCTAAACCTTCAGGACCTCCTATGAGAGGCTGGTCAACACCAGGGTCTCGACCTGGGTAGACCTGGGTTATCAGCTTCCTAACTGTGTCAATAATGGTTTTCTGGGAGGTTTCATCCAGGAAAAATACCGAGACTGATTGAAAATGATTACCATGAGCCACAAGGAGAGAAATTGTAGTTGTCCTAGTAAGGAGAATCTGGAAACATCTTTTTCAATTCTGTCTTTCTCAAAAGGAATTTAGGAAAATTGGCAAATGAAAAGAAAACTAAAGTGGGAACGGATGGAGTTGATGATGGAGCTCAGTTCTGGAGCTTCCTCCTCCTTATCCTGAGGCTCCCACTGAGGCTCTCCCCCCCCCCCCCCCCCCCCCCCCCCGTTTCTCTCTGATAGATCTGGCCTCTGTCAAAACATCTCTGAAGTCTCATTCTTGAAAGTAAAGCAAAAGGAAAAAAAATCAAAAAGGTTTCCATTTGGGCAGCCAATGTAAGGCTGTTAAGTAACTAACTGGTCCTGGAATGTAAGCCCGAGGCATGGAAGACATTATTTTAGGGATAAATTCCTGTGAATGACCCCTGAACCAAACCCAGCCTACTTTGGAAGCTCAAGATCACTTTTTTTAAATGCTTATTTAGCTAATTTTGAGAGAAAGAACACGAGCAGGAGATGGACAGAAAGAGAGAGAGAGAGAGAGAGAGAGAGACCCAAGCAGGCTGTGCGTTACCACCGCAGAGCCCGTCGCGGGGCTCTAACTCACCAACAGTGAGATCATGACCTGAGCCAAAGTCAGATGCCTAATTGACTGAGCCCCCGGGCTCTCCCCCTCTTTTTTATTAAGTGCTTAAGGTCCCTTTTGTTTGGGATTCTTATCTCTAGGTCCTTGGGGCTTGTCTTGTTTTTCTTTCTCTTGTTTTTCTAAGCTCACTAATTCAGAGATAAAACACCTTAAGGGTAGGCAGCAAAGCCGTGGGTGGGTAAAAAGTGTAGCTTCGAAGCTCAGGCACCAAGGACCTTTGATAACCCAGCATAGGTTCAGCTCTGGGCTTTGCTTTCCTCATCCAGGCAATGCCAGGGACAAAGTGGGGAATTGCACATTCTTCTGTGTTCTCCCTACCCACATAGACATGTCTGGTGACTCCAGAATGACCACTTGATATTGCAAGGTCAGGCAGGGGGTCGGTAACAGAAAGAAGATTTTGGAGCTCCTGACAGATCTTTGGACGAGCAATTAATTGTCTTTTTGCTGGGAAAACTCAGTGCAAATTAAAGCAGTTTGAGAGGTGCTGGTGAGTTGAAAAAAAAAAAAAAGATTTTTACTTTCTTTTTGGCTGCTGGAATAAAGACAGAGAATTTACAAGTCATAATAAGAACAAAACAGGACACCAACCCCGTTTCTTTGTAGGGTTTTTATAAAGGCTGGAAATGTAGGTTCTGAGAGGTTAAATTCTAGTAACTGTTTTTAAATGTGGAGATCTAGGATCGCGTGGAATTGCTGTTAAAATATTGCTTCAGATTACACGGGAAAATGTCATCCAATTTCCTACTTTATATATCTTTAGGCTTTGGTAGTATGAGGAATTAGTGATTTCAAAACTTTTATGTAGCGCTCGAGGAAATGATTTGTATGGACTTGAAATATCATACCTTGAAAAATATCGGTTGAAATATATATGGAATGTAATAATACCTTTTACTTCTTTATATTAAATTTTAAAATTGTATTTACTTATTTCTGAGAGAGAGAGAGAGAGAGAGAGAGAGAGAGAGCATGAGTGAGCAAGAGGCAGACAGAGTCTAGAGCAGGGCTCAAACTCACGAACTGCAAGATCATGACCTGAGCCGAAGTCGGATACTTAACCGACTGAGCCCCCCAGGCGCCCCGGTTATACCTTTTAAACTTAGGAAATCTGTGACAAAACCCAAGATATTACCCAAAATGTGTGTTAAATGCAAACTCGGGACTCTCACTCACTACTCCTTCCCTACTCGGCTTCTCTCCCCGTCTTTAATCACAGAGTAATGCATACACTACAGAGTAACACATACACTTACGCTCGGGTCATCATGCCAGACCAAAGCCTACAGCAGAGGTGGCGTGGCACCGAGGGCGCCCACCCAGAAGAGGGGAAGGGCGGGGCAAGGCAGAAAATGTCCATTTTGATGGTCCAGGTGGCCTGGGTGCCTCCCCCGGGGGTGAGGTGGGAGAGGGACTCCTTCCTTTCCCTGTTTGGGGTGGGGTAGAGGCTGTGCTTCAGCTACTCCTCAGCGAGCGTGTTTCTCTTGTAGTAGTGGAGGGAAAACCAGCACTTGGACCGCATTTGTGTGTTTACCATGTAAACAGCTCTTAGCAGTGCACCGCTTTCAGCGTGCTTCTAAGCAATTTACAAACCTTGACTAATTTCCTTCATGTGATCATCATAACAATGCAATGAGCTAAATAAAATGATCTCCATTTTTCAGAAGTCTCCTGAGGCACAGAGAGGTTTGGCAACTCACCCAGGATCACACAGCTAATAATTGATGCACCGAATTTGAGTTCAGCAGTCCAGTTCTACAGTTCTGGCTCCAAAATATCTTTTAAATTCTAGTGTCTTCCTTAGGAATTTTGGAGAGAAAATTTCTGTGTAGGATCTGGTCCCTCACAAGTGGAATTCAGAACCTAACTAACACGGTGATGGGTCTTTTCTCTTTTTCTTTAGATAGGTGGATACGCTTTCATAGGGTTGGATATGGGTGTAACTATGTATATGTGTGTTTTTTCAGTCAGTAATGACTGATGGTCAAGAATGTCCGACCTCTACATCTCTCTTTTTTTCATTCATTCAACTCTCAGAATACGTCAGTTTAACCCAATGTAATGAACTCGCCCCTGTCGATGGACCTCTAGATTGTGTCTCTGTATAATATACATAATGTTCACGTGAACAGCTTTGTGTATCTCAAGAACAAATCCCCTAAAGCTCATACCTTAAAAATAAACGAAACCAGACAGCCATGTGAAGAGACTGGTGTGCTAACCTTAATGCTGTCCTTGCTTCACAATACGTAGCTTATGAAATCATTACGTCGTATACCTTAGGTTACACAATGTCGTATGTCGATCGTATTTCAGTAAAGCTGGAGAAAAAAAGACAAATCGTTCCCCAGGAGTAGAATTCCAAGTGGACAGTTAGTTGCTTCTTTAGTGAGTATGTGGATAATCATAAGGCATTATTTGATCTGACCAGAGGCAGCAGGGCGATAAATGAGGACTCCTACTTAGTCTTTTCTCCAAAATCTTTTTTACAAAAGATTTTAGTATTCTAAGACGCTTAAATGAGGATAAGCCAGCCGAAAGGATATTTGTTCCACTGAAAGAAATTTTTGGAAAGAAAAGTTACCCACCTCCCATTTCCTGGACGTGTTGGTAGATCACACTTTGTGCGCAAATGATTTCCCAGCTGTTTGTGCCTCTTTAGACCACATAGTCCAGCTTCTGTGATGAAGACCCCAGGGCTGTGTTCACATATCAAACCTTGGTTATTATCATCATTTTTAAAAATGTTTATTTTTAAGAGAGAGAGAGAGAGAGAGAGAAGAGGCAGGAAGAGAGGGAGACAGAGGATTTGAAGCAGGTTCCAGGCTCCGAGCTGTCAGCACAGAGCCCGACACGGGGCTTGAACCCACAAACTGTGAGATCACGATCCGAGCTGAAGTCGGATGGCCAACCAAATATGCCACCCAGGCGCCCCTCAGTCATTATCATTATTGACTGAAAACCACCACATATGAAATGTGCCTTCATCTTCTGCTAAAAACTTGAAGATCTTGCCAACTGCATCATCCGTAGCACTTTCAGTACAGTTAATCATAAGAACCCGTAGCATTTGTGCGGGAGCCTCGCCGGCCTGGGACAGGCCGCTCTACTTCCTCTTCCCTTCGTGAAAGTACCCTCCCACCCCTGCACCCAGCTCTCCCTGCCAGGAAACCTGCGATAGCAAATCTGGTGCCCGCCATGTTACCACATCTGCATTTTCCTCTTCTCCTTGGCCCAGCTTTTTCTGCTTTCATTTTATTAAACTCATTACTGTCTTTTTTTAAAAAAAATTTTTAATGTTTTATTTATTTCTTTTTTCTTTTTTTTTAAAATATTTTTATTTATTTCTAGGAGGGAGAGAGAGAGAGAGCGTGAGCAGGGGAAGGTCAGAGAGAGAGGGAGACACAGAATCTGAAACAGGTTCCAGGCTCTGAGCTGTCAGCACAGAGCCCGACGCGAGGCTGGAACCCACAAACCATGAGATCATGACCTGAGCTGAAGTTGGACGCTTAACCGACTGAGCCACCCAGGTGCCCCCTCATTACTGTCTTTTTTGTGAAAGCATTTCAGGTCCTGTTGCAAAAGAAGTAAACTCTAAAAAGAATCTCTTCATTCAGCATCATTATTAAAGTGGATAAGACACAGGGCGCCTAGGTGGCTCAGTCAGCTGAGCGTCCAACTTCGGCTCAGGTCATGATCTCTCAGTTTGTGGGTTCAAACCCCACATCGGGGTCTCTGCTGACAGCTGACAGCCTGGAGCCTGCCTTGGATGCTGTGTCTCCCTCTCTCTCTGACCCTCCCTTGCTCACACTGTCACTCTCTCTGTCTCTCAGAAATAAATTTTAAAAAATTAAAAAAAAATTTTAAGAAGTAGGTAAGACACAAGTTTCAAAATAGCCATCGTATGGCAAAAGGGTTGAGCACAGACTTTCAGCTAAGCCTGTGCGTGAGGCCCGGCACCAGGGGTCAGCAGCTCTATGGCTTTGGACAGGTTGTGCAACCCCTCTGGGCCTCAGTGTACTCCTCTGTAGAGTGGGATTGGTGACACCTGCATCATAGGGTTTCTTCGAGGAGCAAATGAGATGCTTAGAAAATTATAAATGTTAAAAAATTCTAGAGAGTGGGGACCCCTGGGTGGCTCAGTCAGATGAGCACCTGACTTCAGCTCAGGTTATGATCTCCTGGTTTTGTGAGTTTGAGCCCTGCATCGGGCTGTCTGCTGTCAGCACAGAGCCCGCTTCAGAGCCTCTGTCCCTCTCTCTCTCTCTCTCTGCTCCTCCCCTGCTCTTTGGCACACGTGCTTGCGTGTGCTTGCGCTCTCTCTTTCTCTCATTCTCTTTCTCTCAAAAATAAACATTTTAGGGGTACCTGGGTGTCTCAGTCGGTTGGGTGTCCGACTTCGGCTCAGGTCATGATCTCGTGATTTGTGGGTTCAAGCCCTGCGTCGGGCTCTGTGCTGACAGCTCAGACCCTAGAGCCTGCTTCGGATTCTGTATCTCCCTCTCTGTCTGATCCTCCCCTGCTCATGCTGTCTGTCTGTCTGTCTGTCTCTCTCTCTCTCTCAAAAATAAAGCATTAAAAAAATAAACAAAAAATAAACATTAAAAACAATACTAAAGTGTGAGGGCGCCTGGGTGGCTCAGCCGATTGAGCTACCGACTCTTGATTTTAGCTCAGGTCATGATCCCAAGGTTGTGGGATTGAGCCCTGCGTCGTGCTCCGTGCTGAGCATAGAGACTGCTTGGGATTCTCAATCTCTCTCTCTCTCTCTCTCTCTCTCCACCCCCCTTTTCTCTCCCCCACCCAGGCCTCTCTCCACTGCCTGTCTCAAAGAAAAATAAATGAAACCAAAAAATTCTAACGTACCCATCATGGTAGAGTGTAGCTCATATCACTTGCAAACATGTAACCACCATTTCAGGTTTTGTGGGGGGTGCGTTGCATTTTCTACTTTTCTGGGACCTTCCCGCGCCACAAGGAGCTGCAAGACCTGGTCTGAGTCCCTTCGCGTGTCACCGCAGGCAGCCCTCTGAGCGTTCGTGTGGGCCCGCGATGAACTAGACCCCTTGTGAGGCGGACGTCCGGCAGAGGCCGCTCAGCCTGGGCCTCCAGGCCTGGTGCCGCCACATGGGGCAGCATCCTCATTGTTCACTACTGCCGTGTGTGTGTGTGTGTGTGTGTGTGTGTGTGTGTGTGTGTGTGTGTGTCTGGTATCCGTGGTGACGGGCGAGGGGACATTATGAAATGAGGGTAAAGAGATGATCATCTGTGTCCTGTCGCCCCCCCTTACACATCCACCTGCTTTCTGTTTCCATCCTTCCTTCGCGGGGCCACTGCCCGTGGACAGTCGTCATCACCTCTGTGTCCAGACCCCAGAGAGGTCTGGCTCGCAGATGCCCTCCCCTGCAGCTCTCTCCCTGCCTTGATCCCTTCCTGGAAGGGGAGGTCTCCTCCTGTGTTTCCCCGAGTCACTTTCCAGGGCTCCCTGCTGACACTCAGTCTGCTCTCCTTGGCACCACACAGAAATACCAGCTCTCCAAGTAGTTTTCCACCCTCACCCCCTGCGCACCCCACCCCCACCCCGCAAGGGTTTCTAACATTTTGTATAACTTTTATTTCGTAAAGTTGTTCATAACATCCTCTTATTCCCGCCCCCCGCCCCCAGCCAACTTTGAATTTTGAATCTAATGAAGCCACAGGGAAACAAAGAATGTCCTCACCTGGATTCCCTAATTTTTTTTAAGTTTTGCTGTCTTGGTCTCCCCTCCCTCTTCTCATTTTCATACTGGCCAAGGCGTTGTAACTTGGAGACACCATGAGCCTCCCTCCGTGTACAACTGGATGTATCTTCCAAGATCCGGACATCATTCTGCATGATCAGAGCGGAATTATCCTATGTCCCGTGAAACCCAGCGGTTCCCTAATACCGTGTTCAAGCATATTCAGATTTCGCCAAGGATCCCAGCCTGTGACTTCCTCTATCCCCACCCCCATCCAGGATTCATTCAAGGTTCATCCACTGTGTGTCTTCAGTCTTTCCGCGTGTAATGGTCTCGTCCCCACCCCTGCCCTGTGTCCTCTTCAGAGTGTCCAGACTAGCCACACATTATGGATTTGTCTGGTCATCTTCTTCCTCTAACCTCCGTATTTCTTTTTTTTTTTTTTTTTAACAAATAGTTTATTGTCAAGTTGGTTTCCATATAACACCCAGTGCTCATCCCCACAAGTGCCCTCCTCCATGCCCATCACCCCCCTTCACCTTCCCCCCACCCCCATCAGCCCTTAGTTTGTTCTCAGTACTCAAGAGTCTCTCATGGTTTGCCTCCCTCCCTCTCCCCCATGGTCCTCCGTTAAGTTTCTCTTGTTCCACATATGAGTGCAAGCATGGTATCTGTCCTTCTCTGCCTGACTTATTCACTCAGCATAACACCCTCAAGGTCCATCCATGTTGCTACACAGGCCAGATTTCATTCTTTCTCATTGCCATGGAGTATTCCATCGTATAGATAAACCTAACCTCTGTATTTCTTATAAACTGCAAGTTAGTTGTAGAGATTTCTGTTTCTGGAAATGACGGAGGTGAGTTTCTCCTCCTTCCCTTTCTCTTCTTCACCTTTCACAAGCGGGCTGGGGGGAGCCTGTAGGAAGCTGGGTCCGTCCCCCCAGCGATTCTTGCAGTGTGTACTACCCTGAGCACCTGCTCTGCACGGACAGTGTATAGCTGTTGGGCTACTGCACACAAGAGACAGGCCGGGAGCTCCCCCGTCAGCCTCGAGTCTGCTGGGCGCCGACCTCGAATTAACCCACACGTCGTGGGATGGCGGTCACAATTAGAAAATGAAGAGTCTAGAGCCTGAGGAATGGGCGGAGGGGTGGTCTTTTCAGTGCAATCCTTAGTGAAGACCCGTCTGAGGAGGTAACACTGTGCTTAGATCTGGAGAGGGTGGGAGAGAGGGACAGAGATGCAGAGACAGACATTGAGAGGGAAGGAGGAAGAGAGAGAGAGAGAGAGAGAGAGAGATGCAGAGAAAAAGACACAGAGACAGAGAGACAGAGATACGTGGCACCTGCCGGACTCGAGCAGCTTGCCAGGACTCGGAAGCGCCTGCAGCCTGGAGGCTTGGGGGTGCATCCTTGTGGGGGGACCAGGGGGCCGCAGGGGCTGGGGTGAAGTGGTGGGAGGGACCCTCCAGGGCCTCCCCTTGGCATTGGCTGTGAGTTCGGCGGTGGGCGCTGGGACGCCTTCTCCAGGCCCATATTCCCTCATTTTAACGGATGATCAGTGAAAACCGCATTTTGGAGGGGGCAGGGGTTGGGACTGGAGAGAAAAGGACTTGCCTGGTGACGCACAGATCAAGGCTAAAACTCATCTCGCTTATTTACGGATCCACTTCAAAACCCTTCTCCATTTCAGAAACCTTAGCATATTAAAAAAAAGGGGGGGGGGCTGTTTTGAATCAAAGAAGTACTTGCTTCCTCTTTATTTTGGGAACTGCAGTTCGCTAGTTTCAGAGGCGTGACTGCCCTTTAGAGGCTTAGTATCTCACTAGTGCGACGATAAACAAGTTGAAGGTCGCGGGCCAGTGGGAAGTCTGCGGGACAAGGTGCGGAGGTCGGCTGTGGCCACGGGCCCTGTGCATGATCACCTGGAGATCTTGAGAAGTCTCTTCGAATACTTCTTCCTGTGGGAGTTGTTTCCCAATGCCCACCACCTCGCCCCCGAAACTCTGAATCCTCTCCCCCTCTACTGTTCAAGGCAGTGGTCCCCAAATGGCAGTGTTTCCAAATTCCACAGACTCACCCCCCTCTCCCGCTGGGCACCCTGCCTCCAATGGCCCCCAGGAAATTTTCTGGAATGTGTCCAGGGAATCTGTTCTACTGAGTTTGACGATCCTGGGGTTCCTTTAGGTTTGGGAACCACTGCCCTCTGGGACCTTCTGATGGAGTTCATAACAGATTGTTCGTAGTGTATAGATTTGACCATGAGGCTATGCTGTAGGCAAAAGGCATATCTGATTTCAGTTTTCAAAGTCATCTCTTTGGTCCCTGGAGTGCTTTGTGTGGCACTCTGTATATCCCACTATCGACCATATAAACGAATAAAAGAGTTTCGTGTTCAGAAGCGTGGTGATAGCCTCGGGCACTGGTCAGGTACAAGCCCCTTCCATCTGTGGTTCTTTCCCCGAAGTATTACGCAGTCATGGCTCGCTGATGCCATCGTTCATGCCTCTAGGTCCACCGTCTCACCTGGTTTCCATACTCCCCTATTTACCAGGAAGCCCACTGGGTCCTATGATTTGGATGTTCCTATGGGCATCATCTCTCCTCTTGTATCTACAGTCTTGGCGAAGGCCACCGCCGTCTTCCCAGGCCCGAAGCCACATTCAGTTGGAACCTTCTAGGTCTTCCTCATGCTTGCCTTCGGGGCCTCAAGCCCCCGACTCCACCTTGCACCTCATGTCATTGTGAAATGGCAAAGTAAGACCGACAGCTCCCCAGCATTGCACGCAAGGTGTGCCTCCCTCTTCCTCTCAGCCCGTGGCCTTCCCTGCCTGCTCCCTGGCTAAAAGGTTTCTCATTGTAGAACTAGTTCTCCGAAGGGATCAGCTGGAACCTCTTCCCCAAAGGAGTGAGATGCACTAGTTCCCCAAAGGGACCGTGTTATCTCAGGGTCAGTATTTTGCATGTCAGGTTCTTCCTGGAATCACTTTATGGGCTTTGCCATGTGGCTGACATCCCTCCCTTCTGACTCACAGAGCATTTCCTTGGGGACGTTTCCCCTGCCACCTCTTTCTGCATTTGTCCGACTTAGGTGCCCTTTCCTACACTCTGTGCATCCTTCGTCATTGACTTGCCCCATCGTGTTGTAACTTTAACTCCCACAAGAATATGAGCATCTTTAGAGCAGGAATGAGGTCTCGTTGACATAACATTGCTGCTCGATAAATCGTTGTTGAATGAATGCATGCATGAACAAGCACATGGGTACGTGAACAGTGTTCACATTTGAGTTTGTGATCTATAACAAAGACTGAAAACGTATTTTTATTCTCTGTTGATGGAGATGTTTGGGAGCTTCGAAGCCAGCTCCAGCATGGTAAAACGATGTCCTTGCTTTTCTGTTCCAACAGGAAATATGGGATGTATAAAATCAAAAAGGAAAGACAATCTGAATGGCGATGGAATAGATTTGAAGCCTCAACCAGTACGTAATACTGACCGAACTATTTATGTGAGAGATCCAACGTCCAATAAGCAGCAAAGGCCAGTAAGTAGATAGTCTCAGGGGAGCATTCCCACAGCAGGATCAAAGCATGGCGCCACAACTTAAACCCCAAATCTGTAACATGTGCATGCGAAAAATCAAATCCATTACCTGGGCCTCAAATAATTTTCGATATGTTTTGGCACTTAATCTTTTAAAGAGTTTGTAAACATTTTAGAGAGAACCGGGCCATTTCCTGCACAATAAAGGGGCCTTTGGTCGCCTTCTCATGTGAAAAGAAAATCATTTTTCATGAAACTGGTGCAAAGACCAACTCCTTATATATAAAGATAAATCTGTCTATCTGGACTTGTAGGACTGAAGGAAGGTAGTGAGATTAGTGTGGGAGTTGGGAGCAGAAGGGAATTCTGGAAATAATTCAGAAGCTAAAAGAAGTGCTAGTATGCCCTTTGGCGTGTCGTATTTTACCCATATCCTATCATTCTTCGGTTAATTCCAAACACCACAAATTCTGAAGTTGTCACGACTTATTGTAGAGAATTGAAAGCTGAAAAAAAAAATACACCGCTAATTCTGCCCCCTAAACTTGGACAGATACATATGCCAGAGATTTTATGAGTGATATGCTATTCGATGCAGTTGGGAAATGCTTGGCATAGAAGAACCTAGTACAGTATCTGATTTCATGGAAAAGTGGAACAGAGCTTTGGATAGTTGGTATCTTAAATGAACTTCATTTCAGATCTAGTATCCTTATCTAGTAGATATCTATCTAGTATATAGATAGATAGGGGTGTGTGTGTGTGTGTGTATGTGTACATAATATGTAATACTATTCAATATATATAAATTTATTTATTTATTATTTATTTGTTTATGGAATTCCTGACCATTTTAGCTGGAAGCAGCTTATTCCAAATTAGCCCCAATGCCTTTATTAAGAATTTTCTAATTTTCTTAGTGTCTCCAGTCTCCCATGTTTTTTTTTTTTTAATGTTTTTTATTTATATCTAGGAGAGAGAGAGAGAGACAGCATGAGCAGGGGAGGGCCAGAGAGAGAGGGAGTCACAGACTGAAACAGGCTCCAGGCTCTGAGCTGGCAGTCAGCACAGAGCCCGACGCGGGGCTCGAACCCACGAACCGCAAGATCGTGACCTAAGCGAAAGTCGGACGCTTAACCGACTAAGCCACCCAGGCGGCCCATCCCATGTTTTAAATATAATGCCGTGGCATTATAGAAGTGTGTTATCGTTGCCAAGCCAAAGTTTATGTATTGTCACGTATGTCAGAGTCTCATGCCATTGTTGAAATTGGCAAGTCACTGTTGGCCTTCTTAAAAATAAGTGGAGATGAAGAGTGCTTTTAATTATCATATGTGATGTTTCTAGATAGATAAATTAATGTTCCACTCATATAGAGAGAAACTCAAAACGTAGGATATAGCTTTAACACTTCAGTGATTATAAATATGTATAAATATAATTAAAAATATTACACAAACAAGCATAGACGTAGAACTCTATTATATAAACATGATTAATAGGAAATAAGATGATTTCAAGAATTGGAGTCACAAATAGTTTTCTTCTCATACACTTGAAAGATTTCAGAAAAAGCATCTGCCTTTTCTGGTATCACATGCAGTGTGTTTCACATGCTTTGAACGCAAGTGTTCTTTTGAAATGATGAATGAAGATGCCCTTTATTCAGAAAACACAAAGGCAAATAGCATGAACTTCCCAGTTTTCCTCTTCTTAATGTAAAGCGGGTTAAAAACCTAGTTGGAAAGCAGAAGTTCACGGATACTATATTTTAGTCTGTGCCTTCTGTGGCCACAGATGCCTTTGTTTCATGAACCTGTTAGCTTGGCCTGACCCTGTGGCTGTAGATCGTGCTCCCAGCTACCGCCAGATGTGCCAAAAATGCACGCCTTGGCTTGATGACCAGGGAGCTCTGATGAGGCTGTGAGGTGGAATGGATGGAACTCAAGAACACCGTGAGGAAGAGACATTTTACAGAGAAAGAGTTAGGGCAGTTGAGTCACATATATGTGTTTCGGTCTCACAAAAAGTCTACTAAAACATTTGTAAATTAAGGACTCATTGGTATGTGACAGTCAGCTTGCTGCTTTCCAAGCGATTTAGTCTCTCATCTTCTGATTATTTCCTCTAAATCATTTATAATTGATCAGGCAGCCTAATTATGCAAATCCACATGTTTAAAAAAATCAGTGCAGAACTTCTTAAAATACGTCTTCAAGGATAATACAAACCTACGATTCTCTGATACCAGGAAATACAGGCATGCCCCCTCCTCTGCCCACCCCTGCCCCCCACCCTCATAACTGGAGATTTTATGGGCTAGTTTTCGTCAGAAGTTTAAAGTTCAGTGCACACTGTTTGGGTCCCATTCCATTAAGTCACCTTAATCAAGGAGAAGAGTTGCATGATATGTGGATCTAGACCTCTGACGATACTTTCCTTAAAAGGGGTCTGCTCCGTGGTCACTGAGAGAAGAAGGGATTTGATTTAAAAAGTAATTGAAGTGGCCTTCTGTCCCCCAGACCCCTCCTGATAATTCACCTCCCAGCAGAAATAACAGAAGATGCCCTCTGTCCCCATGACAGACCCGGGGTCAGCCTTAGGAAGCCTGGATCTGTCAGGACTGGTCGTCAGCTTCTAGCGACAGAGCGCTGACCAGTTTCTGACACAAGTCTGGGAAACACGGAGGTCAGCAGCCTTGGCCAGAGTAGCAGTCCCACAAAGCCACTGTCCCTAATGTCCCCGGTATCTGGTTTCCAAGCTGAGACCCCAGCCGCCGCCTGTTTCTAGACAGAAAGAAGGGCACAAGGAAAAAGGGGAGCCAGGCCCAAAGCCCCCCCATGACCATTTTGCTTATAGACGTTCTTCCTTTCCCCACCTGCACAGAATGTTGGAGAAGTCAGAAGCATGGCCACTCAGCTGGGCACATTGCCATCACTAGCACTGTTAGGGTCTTGTTACCAAGTAAGGATGAGACTGATGATCGGGTTAGCATCTAGTAGCCCCTGCCTCGGGCCCCGGTCACTTCCCGCCACCCCGGACAAATGACTGCTGTTAGAACGGACTGAGCTGTCTAGGTCAGGACAGAGCTCTGCAGAATTTTTTCTCTGTTCTCCTCTTCCCTCCAGCTTAGTAATTTAGCAGTTCTAAACTGCATGTACCACTGATAGAAAAATAGTAGAACATGCAACGTGAAAATGGGAAAGAAAAGCTAAACCTACAAATCCTTTTCCTAACAAATATTCTCTCCTAGGTTGCAGAGTCTCAGCTCTTACCGGGACAGAGATTTCAAACCAAAGGTATGTTTTCATAGCAACATGGTTTCTTTTCTTGACTGTCACAGGCTCTACGGGGTAGTGGGCTTGAGTTATTTTTGTTTTTATTGTGGAAAAATACACGCAACGTAAAATTGATCACCATCGCCGTTTTTAAGCATACGGTTTAGTGGTACTAAGTACAGTCACGTTGTTGTGTGGCCGTCACCACCATCCATCTCCAGAACTTCTTCATCTCCCCAGACTGAAACTGTGTCCAAGTTAAACACTAGCTCCCCGTTCCCTTACTCCCCTCTGCCCCTGACAGCCACCATCCTGCTTTCTGTCTCAATGAGTTTGACTGCTCCAGGTACTGCAACTAAATGGGATCATAGAGCGTCTGTCCTTTTGTGTCTGTCTTATTTCACTTCTCATAACGTCTTCCGTTTTAAAAAAATGTTTACTTTTGAGGGAGAGAGTGGGGGAGGGGGAGGGTCAGAGAGAGAGAATCCCAAGCAGGCTCTGCGCTATCAGCACAGAGCCCGACGCGGGGCTCAAACTCACAAACCATGAGATTGTGACCTGAGCCGAAATCAAGGGTCGGGCACTTAACCAATGGAGCCATCCAGGCACCCCAGAGTTTTCTCCATTTTAAGGCAGAATACTGTTCTCTTGTCTGTACACACCACATTTGGTTTAACCATTCATTTGGCACTGAACATTTGGATTCTTTCCTGCTTTTATGTGTAATGTTGCTCTGAACATCGCTGAATAATTTCTTAAAACACAGAGTTGGACTTAAGTATAGTTGTGGGCCCCTATGACTGGAGATAAATACTGTATCCCGTGCATATCATACGTTGCTTACGGTAGACCAGGGGTGCTCTGAGCCCCACTGGGCAGGAAACACCGATCGTTATTTGGTAAAATGTTTCCATCGATCGATTCTTGACAGTCTTCCTTCCCCTTCTTCATTTTTAGATCCAGAGGAGCAAGGAGACATTGTGGTAGCCTTGTACCCTTATGATGGTATCCATCCAGACGACTTGTCGTTCAAGAAAGGAGAGAAGATGAAGGTCCTGGAGGAGTAAGTACACTTGAGCACGCTGTGCCTGCTGTCCCTCTGCCCAGGCCAGAGTCCTGCCCCCTCATTCTGCCTCTACCTCCTTGCTGCAAGCCGGGCCTTTGGAGGTGGGCCGAGAAAGACCAAAGGAGTTTTCCTTTTGTGTTTGGCTGGGAACACTCTCCCGGTTTCCCTATGAGAACAGACCCTGGTCTCTTTCTTCATCCTTCTGTATCCCCTCAAAAAGTCTGGGTCTGTGTGGAACTTGCATGTTATTTTAATGCTGTGTTTGTTTAGTTTTATTGCCCGAATCCGGACTGGGTTTCTGGGTGCAGCTTGGTTTGAGTTTTAAGGTCACTGTGTTGAAGCATCAGTCGTGTTGGAAAAGCCCTGATTCGGCAGCTGTAGCCCCTTCTGTGAAGACACTCAGCCATCGTTATGCCCTTGACCTCTCTGTGCTGACTCGCAGGCGTGTGGCCCAGGCCGCGGGGGCTCAGTACCGAGACTAAGGCTTTCCTGGGTATTTCCCAGTGGTCTTGCATACGCTGTCACCGTGACTCCCCAGCCACGCTGGAGGAGGGGCCCCGGAGGGAGTACAGGGTGCTAAGTGGTCAAGAGCAGGTCTCACTTACTGGTGCAGCGTGAGCCTCAGCCTGAACCTGGCTCTGCCTCTTGATAGCTGTGTGACCTCGACAAGTCGCTTCCGCTCTGTACCTTGGTTTCTTCACTTACAAAATGAAAACAGCAGTGCCTCTGTCTTGGGGTCGATGTGAGAATTAACGTGTGTGATTCAGTACTGCACGGGCATCAGGAGGCAGCAACCCGGTGTCCGTGCGGGTGCCATTCCCGTCTTGTAGACAGAGAGCCCGACCGTGTCTGGGGGTGTGAAGACTATCATGGTTGAGGCTCATGGGGCCCCGTCCGTTCCTGCCTCCTTCCCGGGCCCCAGTCCCCTCCTCGATTCCATGCTGAGGCCAAGAACACGAGAGTGAGCCTGTCTGCTTGGCATTATTTATTTTATGGTTTTCCTTTTTAAAAAAATATTTATTTAAGAGAGAAAGCGTGTGAGCAGGGGAGGGGCAGAGAGGGAGACACAGCATCTGAAGCAGCTCCAGGCTCCCAGCTGTCAGCTATGCCCTGAGGCTGGGGCTCGAACCCATGATCCGTGAGATCATGACCTGAGCTGAAGTCAGATGCCCAACCAGTTGAGCCACCCAGGAGCCCTGAATATATATTTTTAAGTTTATTTACTTATTTTAAGAGAGAAAGAGTGGGGGAGGGGCAGAGAAAGGGAAAGAGAGAGAATCTCGGGCAGACTCCACGCTGCCAGTGCGGAGCCCAACACGGGACTCGAACCCACGAGCCGCAAGGCCATGGCCTGAGTCAAAGTCGGATGCTCAACTGACTGAACCACCCAGGCACCCTATTTTATGGTTTTCTATATCTGTCTATGAAAATTAACGTTTCCACGTTTTAACAAAGGAGTTTATGACATAGGAGCTATAGTTCATTATTCCCGTGCCTCCCATTTCTGTAAAGGTCCTCAAGCACTTAGATATCCGGGGGGTAGGTCACAAATGTTACTTCTGCAAGATGGGAACCATTTCCGCCAACTCTTGTTTGCATCGCGCTGGGCAGAGGCACCCAGTTGCAAGCCTGTTGGCCCTTGCCTTCTTCTCTAAGCATATTTGTATTTCAGCAAAATGAAGGAATTTCCCCCCTGGATCTGGGGGTTCCAGCGATCATCTCGCTCTCCCTCAGCCCCAAAACAAGCACCTTAAGACAATTGCAGCTCAAGATGTGGTTTATCTATACAATGGAATGCTACATAGCAATGGGAAAGAATGAAGTCTGGCCATTTATAACAACACGGATGGAACTTGAGGGTGTTAAGCTGAGTGAAATAAGTCAGGCAGAGGACAGATACCATATGTTTGCACATATAGGAGGATTAGAAGGAACTTAACGGAGGGCCATGGGGGAGAAGAAGGGAAATAGTTAAGGAAAGGGAGGGAGGCAAACCATGAGAGACTCTTGAATGCCGAGAACAAACTGAGGGCAGATGGGGTTGGGGGGAGGGAATGGAGGGTGATGGGCATGGGGGAGGGCACTTGTGGGGATGAGCACTGGGTGTTGTATGGAAACCAACTTGACAGTAAACTATGAAAGAAAGACAGAAAAAAGACAACTGCAGCTCTTAAGTCCTTGGACACAACACTTTTTGATGCCTGTTTCCGTTCCAGACACGGCGAGTGGTGGAAAGCCAGATCCCTGTCAACAAAGAGAGAGGGTTTCATTCCCAGCAACTACGTAGCCAAGGTCAACACCTTGGAAACGGAAGAGTGAGTCCTTTCCTCGTCCTTCTCACGTTGTCATTTTGGGCGATTTGTCACCTTGGCTTTCATGTTTCTTCCTTTTTCTTTTCAGTTTTTACCTTTATTTATGCATTTTGAGAGAGAGCGTGTGCAGTGGGGCGGGGGAGAGGGAGAGAGAGAATTCCATGCAGGCTCCACCCTGTGAGTGCAGGGAGCCCGGCACGGGGCTTGAACTCACGAATTTGCGAGACCATGACCTGAGCTGAAATCGAGAGTTAGACGCTTAACCGGCTGAAATGTCACACTGTCTTCTCAGGTGGTTTTTCAAGGATATCACCAGGAAAGACGCCGAAAGACAACTTCTGGCACCGGGGAACAGTGCTGGGGCTTTTCTTATCAGAGAAAGTGAAACATTAAAAGGTAGGAAGTGGTTTAAATCCTTATAGATCCGTACTTAACAAATCATTCATAGAAACCAGTCTAGAATTCTTTTTAGAAAAAGATACATTATGTGCTGGTAGTGAAAGTTTTATAGTGTGATAACAAACTCCAATGATTAGTTTTACTACTAAAAGTAACATAGGAAACAGACATAACCATGGCCGTTTCTTACCACACTTTGTTTGCTGAGCCTCTTACATTATGATTTAGAGTAAATCTTGAAACTTGAAGAGAAAGAAAATTGAAGTACCTTTTCAATGCAGCGAAATAAACTGTTGTGCAGAAAGAAAATGGCACGTTGGTAAGCTTCATAGCAAACAGCCATGTGTCAAGCTGACTTTTTATAGGACTTTGAAAATTACACCCTGCATAATACTTAATTTGAATTTTGCATATTTTATGGCAAAATGCGAACTACAGTGTTGCATAAGGCAGGTCTCCTAATATACAAGCATAATCTTTCCTTGTATTTTTCCCTCCCAGGAAGCTTCTCCCTCTCTGTCAGAGATTATGACCCTGTGCACGGCGATGTTATCAAGCACTACAAAATTAGAAGTCTGGACAATGGGGGCTATTACATCTCTCCACGAATCACCTTTACTTGTATTAGTGATATGATTAAGCATTACCAAAGTAAGTAAAACCTGAGGGTCGGATAAGGCAGAACCGATGATTATGAGATGCAGGGCATCAGGCACTTTTTTATATTAAAATTCTTCTACATCACATGTCCTTTGGATGAAGCTGGAAGATCGATTCTATAATTAATTCTAAATTCATCTATAATTAAGTCTGCATCTAAAGTCTGATTTGATCCCAGTGGATAATTATCCGGGTCCTTCCCACCTCGTCCATGCTGTTTGACAGTTCACGTTCCAGAATTGTGAAGAGCAAAATGGGTATTCTTTTCACGTAGTGCATATTTTTACACCACACCTTTAAATACTTGGAATCAGGCTGCAGATTTGCAGGTGTGTGTGTGTGTGTGTGTGTGTGTGTGTGTGTGTGTGTATGTGCGCACGCGTGTGGTAAAGGTAATAAGGTAATACATATACTGGGTAAAGAAAACAGATGTGACAATGACAAGTGGCAATTCGTGGTCCTCTGTCTCCAGTGCCGCTTTTCAGCTCTGTTAAGCCAAACCTGTGGGCAGCCTCCGGGTTCATTCCCTGTGTGGTTGAAGTCGGTGGTGGAGGGCGGCTGTGGGCACTGTTTATTTCTGGAACCCACTCTGAGGGGCTTTACACTGGAGGTTTGCAAATGGTACTAATGGATCAAATCAAGGCATGTTTTATATTGTCTTTCACGTAAGAATTTCCAAAGTCATGAAGAGGCAAAAGACACCCCCACAACATTTTAGGCTCGCAGACTATGTCGAGCCGTCAGTGATCCCACGAGTCGTCGAAATTCCTTTGTGGGCATTGGTAAAATACAAAGTGTGCCATTTCCCAACCATTTTTATTTTTGTTCTTTCAAATCAGAGCAGTCCGATGGCTTGTGCAGAAGGTTAGAGAAGGCATGTATTAGTCCCAAGCCACAGAAGCCATGGGACAAGGATGCCTGGGAGATCCCACGGGAGTCCATCAAGTTGGTGAAAAGGCTCGGCGCTGGGCAGTTCGGGGAAGTCTGGATGGGTGAGTCGCGGCTCTGGATGGGGCCCCAGGAGAAAGGCGAGCTCAGGCCACATTTTGATGCGTTTTCTCAGCCAGATGCTAAACGCTGTCAAAAATATCATTTTACTCTGTCCACTTGGCATCAAGAACTGGCCTGCAAATATATATTTTTAAATATATTTTTATTTATATATTTATAAATGTTTATATTTATAAATATATATATTTAGTTGAATTAGAGCTGACATTCAATATTATATTCGTTTCTGTTGCACAAAAGTAAGTGACTCAGCAATTCTATACGTCATGCTCTGCTCACCACGAGAAGTGAAGTCACCCTCTGTCACCGTACAGCATTGTGACAATATTGGTGACTGTATCTTCCATGCTGTACCTTTCATCCCCGTGAGTAGTTTATTTTATAACTGGAGGTTTGTACCTCTTACTCCCCTTCTATTTCACTCCCACCCCTCCTCCCACCATAGTAACTCTCTTTTAGAATAAACGAGCGTTTATGGGTGCCTGTCCTTTAGGCATCTGACTTCGGCTCAGGTCATGAAATCGCGGTTCATGGGTTCGAGCCCCACGTCGGGCTCTGTGCTGACAGCTCAGAGCCTGGAGCTGCTTCGGATTCTGTGTCTCCCTCTCTCCCTGCCCCTCCCCTGCTCACGCTCTGTCTCTCAAAAATAAATAAACATTAAAAAAATTCAGACTAAACATTTATAAGGAAGAGGGCAGTGCATTGTTCTCATTGTTCTGTCTACTTGTTCATGATTCTCTCATGACTGGATTCTCTGGACACATATTTTAAGCGCCGGAAATTTGCTTCCATCTCAGGGAAAATTACGTTCGGTGTTAGGATCATTCTTACTAGCGGCCATAATGGGATGCATGACACTTAATTCAGTTTCTGACCAGGAAAGTTTCTAAAGATGTTCCAGGTGCCGCCATTAATGAATCGTTCCGTACCGTTCAGTCGTGCCTTCTCAGGCTGACAAGAAGAACGCCAAAATTATACCAGTGACTTCTCCAGGGGATTTCCCCCCCCATCTGTCTTTTCTAAAGTCTACATTGAATGTGAATTTCTTTTTCTTTGGTGATAGAATTTTCAAAATCATTTAAAAAAAAAAATCAGGTTCTCTTCAAGATTCTGACTGAAAATGCAGTTACTCCAGTTCAGGATAACGTGAGGTCCTACACATCTTATTGGATCACTTTTTCTGGGCCAGCTTTATGTAAGTGACAGCAGCAATGATTCCTAGGGAGAAGAAGGGGCAGCAGCTTTTACTACTGTGCAGAGCACAGAGACTCTTTCAGCTGCTGTAGCGAGGTAGGCGTTGCACTTGCCCACCCAGGGATCTGTGACGGAGAGGTTTCTTCTCCAAAATCTTGGCCCCTGGGATCTGAGTATTGCCTATGAAATCCTCTTTGTGCTGCTTTAGTCGAAGCATCTTTTAAGTAGGGCAGATAGTGACCCAGCATCTGATGAATCCTCCCTGCACTGTAAGTCTGTGAGGTAAAACCTATGTAATATAAAATCAGTTACAGTGAACAATGTTCAGTGACATTCACTACGTTCACATCGATGAGCAACCACCAACTCTGTCAGGTTCCAAAATATTTTCATCAGCCTACAAGGGAGCATGGTACCCGCTAAGTAGTCACTTCCCATTTCTCCTCCCACCGGGTCCTTGTAACCGCCATTCTACTCTCTGTCTCCGTGAATCTGACTGGTCTAGGTAACTTGCGGAGGTGGAATCACATAGTATTTACCCTTTTGTGACTGACTTTCTTTTCTTTTTTTTTTTTAATGTTTTTATTTATTTTTGAAAGAGAGAAAGAGACAGCGTGAGCAGGGGAGGGCCAGAGAGAGGGAGACACAGAATCCGAAGACAGGCTCCAGGCTGTGAGCTAGCTGTCAGCACAGAGCCTGACGTGGGGCTCGAACCCACGAACCGTGAGATCATGACCTGAGCTGTAGTTGGACACTTAACTGACTGAGCCCCCTGGGCGCCCCTGTGACTGGCTTTCATCACTTAACATAATGTCCTCAAGGGCCAGCCATGTTGTAGCATGTGTCAGAATTGTATTCTTTTTATAGCTGAATAATAGTCCCCTTTTTATTAAAGTTTTATTTATTTATTTATTTATTTATTTAGAGAGAGAGTGTGTGTGTGTGCTTGTGTGCAAGCAGAGGAGGGGCAGAGAGAGAGAGAGAGAGAGAGAATCCCTAGCTGACAGTGCAGAGCACGACAACATGAGTGAGGCTTGATTTCACGAGCAGTGAGATCATGACCTGAGCCAAAATCAAGAGTCGGATGCTTAGCCAACAGCCACCCACGCACCCCGGTTCTATTGTATGCATACACCACAATGTGTTTATCTGTTTATCTGCTGATGGATATTTGGGTTGTTTCCACCTTTGGGCTATTGTGAATCGTTATGCTATGAGCATTCATGTATAGATTGTGTAGACAAATGTTCTCATTTCTCTTGGGTATATACATTTTTTAAAGTTTTTTTTTTTTTATGTTTCATTTGTTTTTGAGAGAGAGACAGATGGCATGAACATGGGAGGGACAGAAAGAGAGGGAGACCCAGAATCCCAAGACAGGCTCCAGGCTCTGCGCCGTCAGCAAAGAGCCTGACGCGGGGCTCAAACTCACAAACTGTGAGATCATGACCTGAGCTGAAGTCGGATGCTTAACTGGCTGAGTCACCCAAGCGCCCTGGGGAATATACATTCTTTTAGGAGTGAAACTGCTGGGTGGCTTGGTAATTCTATTGTAAAGTTTTCAAGGAATCATTGAACTGTTTCTGCTCATTAAAAAAAAAAAGCCACCTACTTTATTCCCCTGAGGTATTTGTATTTATTTATTAATATCCATAGTTTAGGGGCAGGAATAGTATAAGAAACATTGCTAACCCTTCCCTTGAGTTTACCAGTTAGTAGTTTACTGTATTCACTTCATCTTTATTACACACACACACACACACACGCACACGTTATTTCATTGTTATTGAACTTCTTGTGAATTAGTTGCAGGTACTGATGACTTCTCACCCCTAAATACTAAAACATGTGTCTCCTAAGAGCAGGGCCATTATGCGCTTAGTTGACATGTCTTCAGCATCCTTTGATCTGCAGCAGTCCTTTGGCCCTTCATCCATTATGACACTGACATTTTATAGAACCTGGGTCAGTTTCGTAGAATGCCGCTCATTTGGATTTTTTCACAATCGGGCCCCCACACGGCCTTGGCACATGACTAGTCCCTGAGTACTCCCTCAGGGCATTGACCAGGAGGCACAAAATAGCACTTGATCCCATCGTTGCTGACGGTCTGTTTGATTTTAATGAGGTGCACCAGACATGTCCACTGTAAATACTACTTTTTAAGTCCCTTTCGTAATCAATGAGTAATCTGGGAGGAGATTGCTCAAAATCATGTAAATATCCTCTACCCCAAAAGAGCTTTCCCCAAACGGTTTCGTTGTTACCTGCTCATTTGGGATTCTCTTCCCGCACAGAAGCCGTAGCTTGTCTAAAGAGAGGCTGCCCCTGCCCTCCTCCACGCTTCCCCAAACGTGTCTTCTCTGACCCCACCAGCCCCTTTGGGAACCAGGGTCCTGCCTTCTCCGCCTGACCATCCCAGTGCTCCTTCCTTCTGGCATTTACTATCACTCTGAATGGGGAGGGAGCTGATGGAAGTGAGCCCAATGAGATAGAAGGACGGAGGAGAGGAAGGATTGTCCGAGCTACACAGTGTCCATGGCCCCCTTATGAGCACATATTCATCGATTATCTCTTGGGCTCATTTGCAATAATGCTGCGAGATAGGAACTATTGTCATCATTTGATGAACAAGGACCCTAGAGTCAATAAGCGACTTGACCAGAATCATTCACCGTAGTGAAGAGGCCCGGCACTCCGACATCCCAGAGGCCTGGGCTCGCTTGCGAATCAGCTATTTACAAATTAACTTGATCTCATCAGTAAAATGGGCAAACAGCTATCTCCTCAGTTGCTGACCTGAAGAATGAGATGATGCACCTGACATGTTTCCTATAGAACATGGCTCTGTGCACTCTATTTTTTAGTCTTTATTTTACTGTATTTGACTGTAGCCACTAGAAGCTGTATTTTAGTGGGTTTACCCCAGTCTCAATGACAAATTCAAACTGTAAAGAATCCAGTTAGACTTTCCTGTGAATATCTGCTGGCAAAGGAATTGCATACTTGTCATGAAGAGAAAAGTAGAGGGCACGTAACTGGGGTGTACTCATCTGCCCTGAAGCAGTAACTCTGCACGTGGAGTGATGGTATGGAATTGAGTTCCAACCTCCCTGTGTTCAGCTGTGAAAGCAAGAGGAAGGTATCAAACGACATGCTATTTGTCCCCAAGAGATAAAAGTTAAGATCTGCTAGTCTGGGAAGCTATCGCTTTGAGGGGAAGACACTATAATAGTCCCCTTGTGTTTTCTTAAAATTTTCTGCAGAGCTACTAGCAAGTAGAATGGTAGCCACTTTGCCAGCTTTGCGATGGTGGTGCTCACAAGTGCCATTTGGAACTGACAAGGGGGTGAGCTAGCAGGAAGTCAAGGGCGAGGTATCAGCGCGGGGGGCAGGGGGAGGCACACGGCTGAGCAGACCTGTTCATGGCACAGTTTTGTCCTGAGTGGCCCAAGGCTGTGCTGAAATTGTCACCTGGAGCCCAAGCACATTGGTCCTTCTGAGATTAGGAAGACCTCGGCTTCCGATTCTAGATATTCTAGATCCTCCGGCCCATTTCACCCCCTCCCCTGTTCACAGGCTTCCACTAGCCACATGCTAAATGTTCCCACTGATTTTTAGAGAGCCTCTTTTAGCCTGTGCCCAGGTGGTGGGAGAAACTGAAGTTTAGAAGAGACAAGAATGAGGCATTGAAAAATACGAAACTCTTCTAGACAAAGTGTTACTTTTTATTTAAACTGCTTGTAAAAAATTCATCATTGGAATAGATTTTGCTAATAATTTTATG